GTTGCCTTTGGGGGGGGGGGGTCAAAACTCGGACGAGTTAGCACTCGACTCCTCACCGAGGCGACGCCGAGTCCGGGTCACCGTCCCCGAGTCAAGCAGCTCTTCCCAGTCAATTTCTTCGTTTCCCGGCGACGGCTCCTCCGTTTTCGCCCTCATCGCTTCCAGGATTCGCTTAGCCTTCTGCCTCGCACGCTCCCTCCCCGTCCTCTCCACCTTCGCCAACACCTCCGCCGCGTTCGCCGCTATCGCCAGACCCTTAAACCTCAACCCGCCGCCGTGACTCAGCCCGTACAGCACCGCCACACAGCTCTCCCGAGTCGACTCGCCCAGCTCGTTCGGCCCCCGCAGGAGACCCACCATGCACTCCACCGCCCCCGAGTCGAGCAGAGCGGGTCGACTCACCGGGCACGATGCCATGTTGCAGAGTATCAGAAGGACCCGGCCCGTCATCTGACTTGACTTCGCCATGTTTAAGAGCACTGAGACCGACCCGAGCTTCACGAGCTTGCTCCGGTTGCTCTGGATGAGCGAGAGATGGTACAGAGCAAGCGCCGAGTCGTGCCGGGTCAATTCGGTTCCGACCCGGATGAGATGGAGGAGCGGTTCTAGGGCTCCAAGGACGCCGATGGCGGTCTTGTTCTCGTCATCGAGTGCGAGGCTAAAGAGGGCACCGGCGGCGTGCTCCTGAGCCTCTGGCGATCCGGCGGATTTCAGGACGTCGACTAGAGGAGGAATGAGTCCTGACCGTACGATCCTCACCTTATTCGATACCTCCAGCGAGAGGTTCACCAGCACCGCCGTGGCATTCACCTGAACCGCCGTGTGTCGGGAAACGATCAGTGACCGGAGAACGGAGGTGAGCCTTGCCGTACAGAATCGAGTCCTCGAAGCTTCGTCGATCCGCGTGACTCGTCTCAGCGAAATCAGAGCTTCTTCTACCTCCAACGTTCGGGGGCTCTTGAGCTTCACGAGCAGAGCTTCCTCTTCGGGACTCGGGTTTGGGACCAACGACTCGATCTCGGCGGAGGAAGGGGAGGAGAAGCAACTCGGCCGAGTTGTGAGCTGGAACGGATGACTCGAAGACGCGACTGAGTCGTCAGAGCTCGAGTGGAAGTAACTCGGCCGCCGGTCAAGCTCTGTCGCGGCGTGGTCTAGCCTCGCTGAGGGTTTGTCCTTGATCGCTTGGATAAGCTCCTTCTCTGAGACCGACACTTTCGGGCTCGGTTTGGATTTCTGGTTCTTCGATTGAAATTTACATGTGGCGGGATCGAGCGACTTCGGCGGCGGGACCGATTTCCGGCTACACCAGCTGATAATAGCGGATTTGAGCGCGAGATTTGGGATGACGGCGGAGAAATCCGGCGGCGACGTCGGGAGCAAGGAGGTCGGTGTAAACCCTATGGTTTTACAGGCGACGACACAAGCTCGTTCGAAGGAGTGACCGGAGGAGACGATGACTGGGTCAGACATCAACGACCCAGAAATCGGACAGAGGAATTCCGCCGGGATTTCCTGTTTCGACGGTGAATTCCCGGAGGAGGAAGACGAAGATGACGACCGGTACATGGAGATTCTCCATCTGGTCCTACCGGATTCTCGTCGGAAAGTGTTGTTGTCGGGGGAAATTGTTTTGTCGGATTGGGAGTGGAGGACCATAAGCTTCATGGCGGATTGCCGAATCTCCATCAACGACGAGTACGCTTAGAAGCTTGAGAGAGTACAGTAATGGTGAAGGGAGAAGAAGAAGATTAGTTGAAGAGCCATAGATTTTGTTGGGAATAAAAGATGGTATTTTTGCTGGGAGTTAGATAGCGATAAAGCGATGAAAAATGAAACCGCGAAGAGAGATTTCGGGAGGGAGATTTTGTTGTTGTTTAACGGAAGACTTGGTCACTTGGTCTGATGATGATGATGATGATGATGATGATGATGATGATGAATTGTCTCTCGTGTCACATGTTTTGTTTTCTGTGTTTAACAGTGAAGTGGGATGTGATTTGAGTTAAAAATACAAAAGAAATGGAGTTTTTTTAAAGTATAAAAAGAAATTTAAATTATAGTCTTACTAGTGTTTTATACACCCAAGTAACCATCTTAATCATTACGAGTATCGCCCCTTATTGATTTTAGAATAAGCACCATTCTAAAAAGAATTTAACCCGTGGCATAAAAGAATCGACAGATAAATATCTATATGTTTATACACGAATATCCAGAAAATATATAATAAAAAACCAAGCATTTATAAATTCGAATAACTATTTCCATGAAATGGTTATGGTTAAATATAATTAAGGTTTACGATATATAATATGCGCATGATTATAAGACTTAAATTTACGTCTTGAAGCAATTATGTGTGTGCGCTTAGGCATAAAACATGTATTCAGCTTTATAATGGTGTCACCATCTCAATGCGATAAATAAATAAATAAATCTGCTTTTTTCCTTTTTGCCTTTTGCGTTTGTTTTTTTTTTTTGGCCCATTGGACTTGTTTTCTTCCTATATGATTGGACAGATGATTTTCACTGTACGTTAAATAAATTTATGGACAATGACAAAACGAAAATGGCTATACAAACACAAATAATTGAAATAAATGTTAACAAATCTCATATGTTCTTACACATGATTTATTAATGTTTTTTTTTCAAAAGATTTATAGCCCAAATTTAACCTTACAAAATACTTTAAATATTTTTTTGTGTGTTTCTAATGAAATCTTTTGATATTATTATTCTCCGCCCCTTTTTTGTTCTCACTTTCTGTAAAATTTTTACCATGTATATTTTAATATACTTATCAAGTAGCTATCCTCTTTTGTTCTTATGCATGGGAACTAATCAATGATTACACAAAAGTAGAACAAGCTAGCACCACAAAACCCAATAATCGCATTCTTAATTGCTAAGTCTTTGGAACATGTATATGTGTATGTATACATGTATATGTACATGTAAATTTATCAAAAGCTTGACACATACATCTACGCGTATATATATATATATATGTATGTATATAATACGTATAAAGAATGCGGGTGTAGGAGACTAATCTTTTGACCTTTACAGGAGTGGGTTTAGGCTGTATTGTATGTCAATTTCCCTTTTTGCTTTTTTGCCAAAGTGGTTTTGATTCTTCGTTGTGTTAGTTTCATGAAAACGGATGGGAGGAAGAAGAGATACTATTGTGTTCACACCTCTCTCTAACATGTAAAGGCTAAGCCAATATTCTACATTATATTTATATCTAATTCTATTATGCATCATTTTCACCTTTTTTTTTTTCTCAACTCGAAGAGCTGGACTACATACACACACGCGCACACACACACACACACACACACACACATATATATATATATATATATACACATTATATTCATAACAAAAATTGCATGACGAAATTAACATAACTTTGGATATTGATTGTTTACTTAGATTCAATAAAAGGGTCAAGTAAATCATTTGGATTATATCCAAATAAAAGGTTGAATTGAGCTATGTCGTGTTGATGGAAATATCCTAATAATTTGGATTATATCCAAATAAAAAGGTTGAATTGAGATATGTCGTGTTGACGGAAATATCCTAATAATTTGGATTATATCCGCAGTTACATTATCAAACTATATAAAAAAAATTATTATTTAATACACCTTTATGCCCAAATTTCTTTATAATTGCCCCGCCCATATCTCTGTTGGAAAATAGAAAGAGTTGCATGAAAACCATGCCATGTTTTCCAAGAAGTTTTGCTTTCATTCTTTTCTTTTAGTTATTGGACCGGACATGGGCCGGGCTAGATGCATGAAAATATATTTATTATAATTCAAGCCCAAAATGTAAAAAATTCAAATAAATGAGCCCAAAACGGGCCCAGAAACATCTAAACCGCGTCGGCTTCATCTAAAAGGAGGATTTGTATTCTATCTTCTCCAAATTTTAAAAATATTAAAAAAGAGAGTAGAAAAAGGAAACTTGCTAACCAGGGGAAGAAACCGAGTTGGACCTGGCTTAGGCCCTAAGTCAGCCCCAACCTATATATACACACGCAGACGCGTAAATACATACACCTTCCTTCGTCAAGAAGAACATACCGTATTCTCTCACGATTTCTCTCTCTCAATCAAAGTAGAAGACAAGAAGATCAAAGCAGCTATGTCAGGAGGAACAGAAGCGTTTCCGGGTTTGGGAAAGCATTGCCAGAATCCTGACTGCAAACAGCTCGATTTTCTCCCCTTCACTTGCGACGGCTGCAAATTGGTATTCCATCAACATTTTCCCGGAAACTTTCCTTTTGCCCCCCGGAAAAATCGAATCTTTGGACTCGAATTGCTGCTTCCGCCGACAAAGTTGAAATATTTCGTTTGTTGCAGTTTCCCAGAAACGCTGTTCATAGATGGGTTGCTTTGGTTTTTGCGTGAAAGCTGTGAAAATTTTGATCTTTCTTGTGTGGTTATCGAAAAAGTTTGGATTTTTCTGTGTTTTGATTCTAATGAGACGTATACCTGCAGGTTTTTTGCTTGGAGCATAGATCCTACAAATCCCATGATTGCCCGAAATCAGATCAAGGAAGCAGAACTGTTCTTGTCTGCGAAGCATGTTCTGCAGCGATAGAAACGACAGGTTGTGATGAAAACAGTGTCAAATCTCTGCTGGAGAAACATGAGAGATCTGGAGATTGTGACCCGACAAAGAAGAAGAAGCCGACTTGTCCTGTAAGAAGGTGCAGAGAGGTTCTGACATTCATGAACAATGTGACTTGCAAGGATTGTGGACTCAAGGTCTGTCTGAAGCATCGGTTCCCGGCTGATCATGCCTGTACAAAGAAGGCTGCTTCCATGGCTAAGACAATGGTCACGCCTCGTGGCGGGAGATGGAACGAGAAGTTTCTGGAGGCTTTCGCTTCGAGAGACGGGAAAGCCTGTGGAAGAGAATCACCTGTTTCTAAGTCTCCAATGGCAAATCCATCTGTTAGATCTTTTTAATTCTATGGTACTATCTATTGTAATGTAACAGTTTGAATAAACAATGTGATCACAACTGAGTAGAGATTCTGTACATGGGAATTGATCTCTCCTAGTTTCAAAGATTAAACCAGAAACTCTTGTATTCCACAAGCACTTGATAGGTGAAAAATGGTACAAGAGAGAGAAATTTGTATCAATATGCCAAATGTCTATTACATACAAAAGGGTATGTCGCTAGGCATTCACCGGTCTCATATCTCTTTGGCCGAAAGTACAGGAGTGATGGACAAGAGAGCAAGTTATTACATGTTAGCTGTGGCTTCATTGATTTCTTCCAATGAAATTGCCTGCAAGAAACACAGAAGAGCAGGTTCTTATAAGCAAAAAAGCCTCAAGCTTGTGAATGGGCAAATCGCGATATTCACCTGATCCTTGCCAGCAAAATCATTGTCCGGAGTCAAGAAGAGCATGCAGTGGCACTCCTTCCTGATAACAGAAAAAGAGTTATAGTGCAGGGAAGATATCCAAAAACATTTCTCAAAGTTAGTAGTTAGCAGAGAAGATTAATTCCTAGATAAAGGTTTCTATGACAAAGTATCAGCCATAAAAAGGGAACCGGGTATCGAAAGATATCCCATTCCTCCAGTCGAATACTTGAAATAGACATTGTTGCGTTGTACTTCAGAATATCTGATGGCTAATGAATAGAAAAACAATGAACTTCTATTTCGATAGCGATTTCAGAAACGCACGATTAACATCACATCAAAAAAAGAAAACGATCTTGCTACAGGACTAGAGCATATGCTGCCAGATGCTAACCACAGTACAGTAACTAAGTCTGTTGCAAGCCATGTAATATGTCCGGTTAGTTCTTGGAATCTGTAACATACTTAAAACTCATGTCCAACAGAAGTAAAACCTGAAACAACATCTAATATATATCTATAAACCAAGGGGAGTTTCTCCTACCTCTCTCTCATTGGAACACATGGGCAATTCCAAAAGCCTTGACCAACCTCAGCGGCTTTATCGTCATAGTGCCTGCAACCACAGAAAAATCAGACCATAGCATTATGTCACTGCAACTTAAAAACCAAACAGGACAATGTTCTGGAAGATAGGAGCAGAAATTCACCTGCAAGGGCAAAGTGGCGCGCCATGTGAATCTTTATGTTCAGCCAATCCCTGCACAAAATTTCCCAGCAACTTAAATATTATAAGACTGTACCAAAGATTGCAAACAAGATTCTCAATTCAGTGAAGAAAAAAAAAACTCTCAGGATATTCATATAAAAGCTACAACTTGTGTACATCTCAAGATGTTAATCTAACCAAAACGAAGTCTATTAACTTGGAAGAGCCAGTTACTTCAAATAGCTCATCACTCCGTCAAAATTTCAGACAATTCAGGGACAGACCCCCCCCCCCCGGGCACAGACTCAAACC